AGTTTTTTTTTTTTTTTTTTAATCCAGTATTTTTTTCACTTTTTTTCTTGAATTCTAATAAGAATCGAAAGATGATGCTCAACCAAATGTTGCTTGTTTTGTGTTGTTGCATCACATCGTTGTTTTTCGGATTTTTTTGATGATTTTTTTTTTTTTTTTTTTTTTTTTTGCTTTTTCGTACGGGGTCATACAAGATGTATAGGTTCCCGTACAAGTTCCTGTACAGATCCCGTACAAAAATAACCTGTACGTTTCGTACGGAAAGCCACGTACGTGTACTCTATGCAACGTAGCCTGCACTTTATATCGCGGAAATATGTTTCTCAGTCCCAGCAATGAGTCTCGCTTCACTACTCTCGACATGCACAAAAGACAAATCACGACAGTGTATCTTTCTATGTTCTAACGAGAGATTTACTCATTTTGCACTGTTTGAGATATCACGTTCACGATTACTAGAGACATTGTGCAGATCTGAGTCTACTTGCACTTCGACGTGAGACGAGTATCTCCAAGTCCGTGTTCATTACATTGGATTTTTTATTATATTATTATTATAAAAAAAAAAAAATGCGGATATACTAACTCTAACTGTCCCAATGCACTCCTTGACTGTGTCTGCTTTTTTAGAAGTTTAGAAATCTAGAAGAGGGGGAGGAGTAGGTGCTTGCGAACATCAACTTTTTTTTTTTTTTTACATCTCTTGTAAGTCGTAGTGGGTGTTGGTACTCACCATCTCTTCTATCTTATCCCCATCACTCTCTTCGCCGACGAGGAGGAGGTACTGTTACGAACCCGTGGTCAGATTGATGAACGACGACAGCAAGTGTTGAATCGTCTTCGTTACTTCGTACGTTGCTCCAAGAGTTGCAAGAAGCTGGTCCCGAAGATGGACAACATGTACGCAGCCTATTCGACCTGCGCGCGACAGAAAACGAGCTACAGCAAGCTGGAACTGTTGTCCAGATTTTGGAAGTCAGTGGAAGAGTGCAATAAACAATTGATCGAGCACAAATGACTCTCGATCAATCTGTTGCCGAGCAATTTGCGAGGATAACAAAAGGAGAAGAGGCCAAAGAAGAAGGAAAGGTGGAATTGTATGAAAGAAAATACGAAGTCACAGAAGAAAGAATGAACGACATTATCAGAAAATTGCAGACTGCATTAGAAGCAAAATTGAAAAAAAAAAGAAAAAAAAAAATATCAAAAGGAAAATAAAGGAAAAGAAAAAAAGGCAAAGAAGCAGAAGAAATCAGAAAAAAATAATAATGTGGAGGGTTCAAAAGTTGACGTGACATTAGTTTTGCATAATATAATGACTTACATCGCTCACTTGGAGATAAACATCGACAACGTCACCGTCGAATTTCCAGACGGTGACCAGATTAGTAAAAGGAAAGAACAAAATGGTGTATGAGGAGGAAGCCGAGGGGAAGGAAGACAAAAAATAACCCCAAGAGAAGTTGATGAAAGATGTCATGAAGTCTCAGAAAGAACCTGAGACCTCCAAAAAAGAGGAACCGGTAAAGGAGGCTACAAAGAAAGAACCCGAGTCTGCAAAGAAGGACGTTGCGAAGAAAAACGAAAAGGTTAAGATGAAGTTTCCTTTCACATACAACGGTAAGCGAGGGGAAGATCTGCCATTGTGGAGAGCAAAAATACAAACTTACTATAACACCAATCCTGTTGAGGTCAAAAGCCAAGTTGCGTTTTCGACCTCCTATCTTAGTGAAGTCGCTAAGGAATGGGTATTGTCCAAAGCTAACGCTGCTGGTTTCCAAGATATAGGTGAGTGGGCTAAAACAATAACACTTAGGGAGTTTCTCCAAAAGATCAAGGAGAGATTCTTTGACAAGACAACAACTGACAAAGACTTTCATGAGCTCACTACCATCAGCCAAAAGCGTTAGACTGTTGTGGATGCCTTGTCCCGCGAAGTGGATCGTTTGTTGTAAGTACTCGGTTTGAACCTGCACAATAACCAAGTTCTGTACATCTACTCTTGTGTGTTGACCAAACCCATTCGAGGACAGGTCGTATATGAAGTATGAATTCGGTAGCGCAATTATAGACAATTTCATGACCTTGCGCTCGAGAGGGAGCAAATGACAGCACTGCAGCATAGGCGAAGGGCACCTATGCGTCCGTTGTGAGAAGTGGTCGGTCACGTGGGTTGGTAAGAGGATCGAGTGGCGGCATAAGAGACAACATCACACCCTTATCGTCTTCAATGATGATATAATGGAAAAGTGGCCACTCGATGAGACCGAGGGTGGTGGCAATGAGTTGGGACAGTATCACGTCACTACCATGGTGGCCAACAGGGGTGACACCAGCAAAAGTGAAAACTTTAAAAAGAAAAGGTCATGTTCCATCCCAAAGCATCCCGGCATAGCGGTTGGGAGAGCGTGGGAAAAGATAGGTCGGCATAGCGGTTGGGAGACCCTGGGAAAACATAAGCATGTCAGAGGGGTTCAGTTGGACAACCAAGTGGCTGAGTACCGTTGTCGGGTGGCCACAAGTTGTCGGTCACCCGAGATTCGACCGAGCACTTAGACGGAATTCCATGGGGATACTTGTCAGACACGTAGGGGGAAATTAGGGGGTCCATAATGAACTCTAAATTTTCCTTGATCACCCACCAATGCTAACCCTTAATCATTGGAAATCGAACGGGGATTTCTACCGCCCCTAAGGTCCACCTTTTTTGTCTGGTTTGGGGTTGTCTTCGAATCAGTTGGCCGTGGGGCCCGGGTAAGTTTGTGAGCTCTCGCACAGCGTTCCCATGCTGACCAGTTGATGGAGAAATGAGACCTCAAATTTGAATCAATTAATAATGGAATTAAAAATGAATAATCAAATTAAAACTGATAAAAAGAAGAGAGGACAAATGATTATTCTATTACTAAACAAATTTTATCAAATTCTGCTCTCGATGATTTCAACCAGAATTTACCCATTTATTTCTCCTTGTAGGTTTAAACGGTTTTTTCCTACTTATTATCCCTCCCCGAATTTTACTGGATTTTGCCTAATTATTACCGTTGCTATAACCCGGGAATTATCGAGTGTACGACACCCATAACTTATAGGATTCTCATGGCATGCTGAGTGCAGTGAGTGGTGTGCGAGAACTTTGATGGACACTCAATCATTCACGACAGTAGTTATTCCAACACTTTAATGCGTTGGACCATGGTTACATTGGCGGTTGGATCCTCGGGAGAAGTTTTGTGTTACAATGCCCAACTCGGAATGGTCCGGTTGCTGGTTCGGAACAGTCATGGCACAAAGCCAGTTCGACATTCTTATCCCCTTGTATGGTACTGCAGTGCGGTTTGGGCCTGCTGCAGTTCATTCTAATCATATGTCGTAAACTTTGGCACGGGTACGGCCAAGGTGCGAGTTGGAACAACATTTGGTCTAATGTGGTACTGTCGCGGCTTACTCCGGTTGATAGAATTATCTCGATGGGGTCTACTGCACTTTGGCACAATTTTGATACGCCCACTGATTCGGTGATGAGTGTTGGACCCATATTTCGGGTACGGGTGTCCACCGGGCCTATGCTTGACGAATCTATGTTGATGTCTGTGGGGGAATGCCCGCAGTTTGTGGGTCTGGTATTGCAGGTGCGGGTAGTGCCAGCCCTCAGTTGTGAACCGGTACCGGCAGCGACGGACTGGGGTTTTCCCCCTAGCATGAGGCCGCGCCCTTGAGGGAATATAGGGAGGACCAACGGGACAGAAGGGGAAGTTGGAACATAGGGGAGGGAGGGGAGAACTGTTGCATGGTTGCTCTGCGAATGCGAGTGTTGTTGGGGTGGGTCCGAAGGGTGTTTGGGGTTACATGCCCTGTTTCCGTGGGGGCACGGTGTCTTTGCTGGCAGTCACGAGGGGTGCATCCAGCGTGGGGTGGGATGGGGTGTTGGACGATGGCACTTGCGCAGGCCACCTCGCGGGGTCCGTTTGTCTTCCTCAATGACGAACGGATTCCAAAGTGGACAACTGCAGATCGGGTGACAATCGGGGTCTGCGATGCGGGTGCATACGCACTGGTGGACGCTAAGGGCCTGTTGCAGGACAGTTGTGGCGGGCGTGTCCCTATCACATGTCGATGTATGACGAAGTAAATGGAAGGGTGATGATCACACTTGTCGTCGTCGCCCAACAACCCACAACGGGGTTATATACATAGAGTGCCTCGCCAAGATCGTCCACAGTAGCGGCCATAGACCTCCCCCCTCCTGTATTGTCGCCTGCACATCGCCGTCTACACACGTAAACGGCCTCCACAATTATTCGCTTGTCATTGTCGATGTTCGTGCTGCATAACATTGTCGCCACACCATTCGTCGTCCCTCTGCACACACACCTGCCATTGTCTGGCCGCCGCTTGCAAACCACCTTCCGCTAATCTTTGCGACCTTGCCACGCGTGATGATCCATCGCCCGCAAGCGTATCTTCCACCATCTACGCCGAGAAGTCCGCACAAGGCCCTCTCGCCCGTCAGTCGTCCGCATCTTCCACTGCATCACCTCTTACGTCCGCGTGTTCTATGGCAATACCTGTGAAGTTCGCGCATCTGGTGTAACACGTCTTCAACGGCGACAACCCTGCACTCCAACCGGGACGCCGAAAGGAAGTCGTCTCCTGCGCATCATTGAAGGCGGTCGTCTACGGTCCACGTGTTCTACGGCGACTCCTTTTATCTTCGCGGTCAGTGTTGTCCATTGGTGAGAAAAGGTTAACCGACCCCCCATTCCATTTTTCACCTCAATTTATAAGAAAACCATAAGGCTATCCCAACCAAACTTCACACCAATCTATAGAGTGCACTTCTTACTAACATATTATAAAACAAATACCAAAAAAAAAAAATTTAAGATACATAAAACAGCAACTCAAAAGTGCATTTTCAGGCAATTTTGCCAAAAAACAAGTTCATCAAAATTTCAGGATTTTCAAGATGATTAGCCATTGGTGGGCTGCATGAACCGGGCCTTTTCAGCACTCTCACTGCCCATTACACGTCACCTACACAGGGCACCCCATTTCGCAGTTCATGCCGTCGTCTCGGAGAGGATTTCGTTGACCCATGTCGTCACGTGGTAGTTATCACAACAAGAAGAGGGACAACTGCGAAGTGGAGACGCATGTGACCGTCAAGAAAGGACGATATCAAGCGAAGAACAAGAAGGTTCTTGCGGAGGGCCCTTCGAGGAGAAGTGCCTTGAGGGATGACGAATGGGTGAGGGATTTCGAGGGTGCCGGTTATGACAAAGATGTCATATCCGAAACCGAAGTGAAAGTCGTCAGGCAAGCATTTGTGTGTGCACAAGGGGTGCTCCCCAACCCACGGTCGCGACAGCGGGACCGCGGCGGCGGACCCCCCGCGGCCGAGTGCGGGCATGAAACCCCGACATTTTTTTCGGGGCCAAAAAATAGGCCAAAAAATATATATATACATATGGACGTGTAGATAAAAAAAAAAAGCTCTACACGCCTATGATTTTTAATAATTTTTTCTCACATTTACTGGAATGGGAAAAAAAAAAAAAAAAAAAAAAAAAAAAAAAAAAAAAAAAAACGGAAAAAAAAAAGCGGAGATGAAATTTCTTTTTTCATATTTTTGGTCTATTGGGCCGGTGGCAAAACACTGGCCCACACACACACACACGCGCACACACAATCAATCAATAAATCAATCAACGAACCAATCCCAATCAATTAATCAATCAATCAATCAATCAATTTGATTGATTGATTGATTGATTGATTGATTGATTGATTGATTGATTGTGTGTGTGTGTGTGTGTGTGTGTGTGTGTGTGTGTGTGTGTGTGTG